ATAATTTTTTTCATTACATCCAACAGGTTAAAAATTTCTTGTTTACAGGTCTGGTACAAGATTATATCTTGGTTGTTAACATCTATATTGATATCTTGATTTTCATTTAAATTAGCTATACCAATATCTTGATTTTCATTTGAATTAATAATTTCAATCGATATTTCTTGATTATCAACTTGAGGGTCATCGTTATAGACAATTGCTTCATATATATTACAAGAACAATTTAAGTTTTCAATTGCAGAATAAAGGTTTTCTAGTAAATCGGCAAAGGCATTCTTTTACTTGACTTCTAACAAGAGATAAAATTCTTGACGAATTACCTTAAATAAATGTTAATTAAAATTAAATTACCATTATTAAGCAAAATAATTTTTTTTTACCTTTCTAAAAAATCCTGGTTCTATAAGACCATACATTTTAATTAAATGTTTACATATATGAAAACAGTTTAAAAGAAAACTAGTATATGAGCATATCCATCATGATAAGTCTGTAATGTGGTTGACATTTGGATTTATTATATGAGTAGTTAATTTTTTCTATTCTAATCAAAGTTCTTTATGCTATTTGGATATGCACCTATCATCACATAGTAACTGCAAATGGTTAATTTGATCTGGAATAACCTTTGTTGCTATAATATAAATTATTAAATCTAATCGTGTACGATTGAAGCTCAGTAGAAAATCATGTTTCAAAATATGCCAGTGACTTTCAATAGTTATTGTAGTTCACAAAATATTAAGTTGGGAACTTGATGCACAATTCCATAGCTTTCATGCTTCAGGATAGTACCACTCAGACCATAAATAGGCCCAAACATGTTTAAGGTCATTTTGATAATAATAAATATATTGGTCTTTAATGCTTTTAATCCAAATTTGGTTTATATTTAAAAAGTTTAGTGGGCGTTCTATAGGTATCATAGGATGCTATAAAAAATGAACTTTAACAAGCTGAAGAATTTTTTCATGAAAGTTTTTTTTACAAAAAACTTTATCTCTTTCATTTAATAATTGTTCCTGATTTGTGTGATCAATTATTACTTGATGTTGTCTAACTGGTTGTCATATAGGGTCAATAATTGAGTAAAGTGAATGCACATTATAAGAATCATAATAATTGTGTGTAATTCTAGTGCTTGTAAGTTTTTTTTAATTGCATAAATTACATGCCAATAACATAACTGAATATTAGCTTCAGTCCAAATTTTACTTGCAGCTATAAGTTGTTCACGATCTTTATTCGTTAAAATTGTTTTAACATCATGAATTTTATTTATTTTTAAATACTGAAACCATTTAGTAATTGCATATGTTTTTCTATGCAGACATTGTGGATCAAGAAAAAATATGATAATAGAAATCCTGAATTATCTAAAATTCCAAGAACTGTGTATAGTTCAAATTTTAAATAGTTGGTACCAAATGTAGCATCAATAACAATTGTTTTAGTAATCTTATTTAGAAATAAAAATAATAAAGGAATTATAAATGCTAACATGTATTGATCTTGATAAAGAAGCTTGAAACTAGGATTATTTTCCAAGTATAATCAAGCTGATTCCAATTGATTGTCTGCTAACTTGTATTTTTTTTGCAACCAATTTCTTAGATCAATAATAAATTTGATGCCATATAATATGTAAAAATCCATCGATTTTTCATTTTTAATATTTTCATAAAATTGAGAAACTGTTTGTAAATTGTTCTCAATAATATAATTGCGAATTTGAATAGAGACATCTATTATTTCAGATGATGAGTGAAGATAATGGTATATACTAACCACTGCCAAATTATAAGCATGTTCAATATTAATTTGAATAGTTCCATTACATGCATACCAATCAATTCATGGCATTGTATCTCTTCTATTAAAAACATTATCAATCTGTGGTTTTTTATTTTTTAACTCCTCATGACAATTACAATAATAAGTGAATGAACTTGAATTTTTCATTATATTACATTTGTGATATACCCAAGAGAACTTAACAGCCTTTGAAATAAGTTTAATAATATGTTGTGCAACATCTTTATCTGTTGGATCTTCTAAATTTGTATCAACAATATTTAGTAATGGATCTAGAATTATAAAAATTCTTTTTTCGAAAAGATATTCAGAATCATAGTCTTCTGGAAGTTCATTAAAAATAAAATTCACAAGGCCTTCCAGTGCTATTGCACTTTTTTGATTGACTTTTATAATTTCATTTCGATTTTCATTATTTCTTTGTTTATTATTGGCAGAAATTTGGATACGGCAATCAATACAT